AAGATCGAGCATCTCAGCACGACGCCTCGTGCTCAGTCTAAAGGGACCCCCACATCTTGCCGAGACTCGGGAGAGGCACCTAGCCTCTTGGTCTCCTTGTCTGTGTTTCTTAAAAGCCGTAATTAAGATTCCTGCCTTTCCCACTTCTCAGGGTTGTAGCAATTAACTTGATTAGTGTTTGCAAAAGTGCTATCAAAATTATAAATTTGCATATCAAATGAAAATCATCATTACTAAAGGCCCCTTCAAGAATCTCTTTCTCATGGAAACACCCGACTTGCTTCACAAAGGAGAAGCCGGAGCTGTTGCTTGACAACTTGGCTAAACGGTCAGTGTCCAGGTTTCCGGTTCAGGAGGTCAGAGTGAGTGACATGTTGCTTCTCCTCCCGTGGGATCCACCGAAGGAAAGGATTCTGGGGGGTGTGTGGCGGCGTGGAGGGGCAGGATGACATCCCAGTACCGCGTGGAGGAGCCATCACAAGGGAGCAGTGGCCTGCGGGGTGGGCTCAGAGAAAGCAGGCACCGACCAGCAGGCCCCAAGGGTGGGTTCACTGGGTGACTTTCAGTTTAAGGGGCCTTGTCTGGTCCCGACCCACCTGGGTCAAGGAGGCTTCCGATGGGGGGGAGCCCCCACCTTCCGCTGTATCCCCGGAAAGGGATACAATTCTAGAGGAAATCAGAGCTGCACTGGTGATAGTTGAGCTAGTATTTTTCTCATGAATGTGAATATTCAGACAAAAGCCAAAGAGAGACAGAGACAGTAAACAAAGCTCCATCACAGAGGAGGCCCAGGCCTCAGCTGCTGAGTCTCCCCAGGGACCTGTGGGGAGCATCACCTCAATAAAACAGGAGAAGGGAGGAACCTGAGGTGATGAGTGATGAAGATTGCAGAGATTAAGAAGCGTCGGACAGGGGTGCCTGGGTGGCTCAGTCAGTTGAGCATCGGACTTCAGCTCAGGTCATGATCTCACCGTTTGTGAGTTCCAGCCCCACGTTGGGTTCTGTGCTGACAGCTCAGAGCCTGGAGCCTGCTTTGGATTCTGTGTCTCCCTCTTTCTCTGCTCCTCCCCTGCTTGTGCTCTGTCTTTCTCTCTCAAAAATAAATTTTAAAATGTTAAAAAAAAATTTAAGAAGCGACGGGCAGTTGAAGAGGGTCAGGGAAGTTTCAGAAATGCCCAAGAACAGAGGAAAAGGGTAGACAACATCAGGAAGTAAGACCGAGGGTTCAGTCAGAATACTGAATGTTTGACAAAAAGTGTGTAAAGGAAGGAATTTATCAACAGAACGATAGAAGGAAACAGTGCAGAAACAGAACAGCTTAAATAGATCAGGGTGGGTGCATGGCTCCCACATGCACACATTCTCGTGAAATTAGAAAACATTCAGTTTATTTATTTGTTTCTAAAGTTTGTTTTTATTTATTTTGAGAGAGAACGAGCAGGGGTAGGGGCAGAGAGAGAAGGAGAAAGGGAGAGACAGAGAATCCCAAGCAGGCTCCACACTGTCCGCGCAGAGCTCAAGCCAAGGCTTGAACTCACAAACCATGAGATCATGACCTGAGCTAAAATCAAGAGTTGGAGGTTTAACCGAATGAGCCCCGCCCCCCCCCCCCCATGCCCCTAAAACATTCAGTTTAAGAAAGGACCCTTTCCCTTCCTTGGGTGGGGTGGGGGCGATCCGGCAAAGATGTCAGCCGGATGTTTCTAGTTAGAAACATTAGTAAGCGATAATAGAAAAATCCCCTCCAGATGTGCAGGGAGAATAATTTTCAGTGTGGAATTCTCCCTAAGCAAAGCTATTCCAGTAATATGAAAGGCACAGTCAGGACACTGCCTGGCGAGCGAGCCTGCTGGTATCTGTTCCCCACATGTTTTAAAGGGTGTTTCTTGAGGCTGCACCTGTCAGGGAGAAGGGAGGAGAAAGAGGTGTCGTGTGTGTTGGGGGCACAGTCACAGCTGGGGGAGGGTGTGGACCTGTCCACAGACACAGGGACTTACAGGCACTTCCTTCTTTTCAGCGAAATAGAAGAAAGTTGAGCGTTCTGCAAAACACACATACTACCTCAGAAGGTCTTTAAGGAAGTCTAGCTACAGATTTGGGCCGACCCTAAATGTGACATGGCTTTGAGTGGTGGCAGAAGGAGAATCTGTAAGACTGGATGATACTGCTCTCAGGACACGGTCTGGTGACAGCACAGCAACCCTAGGTCAGCCTGTGCTTGGCGCTGGGGCCCTACAGCATCCTGACCGCGTGGAGGCCAGGTGCTGGTTTCCAACCTCAGATGACTGGACGGAGTAGGGAAGACTTCAGCACGGCAGAGAGTACAAGTACAGTATCATACGACAATACAGATACACACGTACAGCGATACAAGGCCACTTGCAAGGCAGAGCATGAAGTAAAGATAAATCATCTCCACTTGTAGGACAAGAAATAAAAGCATGTTATCTAAAACTACAAATATTACAAATATCATGAAAACTAAAAAAAGTGTCCGATTGTAATGGTGCAGATCAGTATTACTCAGAATTGAAACAGTGAACACGGAACCGATAGTGTTGAGAGTTGCGAGGACACAAATAGACCATGAGTGATGGCTTCCCTGAGGGGCTGGCAGGAGAGCGCCGTGTCTTGTCCCGAGCTCTCTTCTGGAGTTTTGACCAGTACTGCATTATTTAGATAAAAGTAAAAGCTATCCTATTCGCAGGCGTATGTTTTTGCAATCAGATTTCTCCTGATGGCCACACAAGGGCAAGCACGTTGCAGGGGCTGAGTCTCGCCCACCTAGAAGTGGACGGGCCTCTGAGTCCCATTTTCCTGCGGAATCACTGCATTTTTACAACTTTGTACACAGATGGGAACTCGAGCCAGAAAAACCTTCCCTCTCGGAGCTTCCTAGGCATTAGCTTAAATACCTGTACTAGGACTGGGGTCAAGTGTCACATCAGCTTTAAGTCAATGATTAAAGAAAATACTTGTCAGTAATTCTGCACACATCTCCCTAATGTCTTGTTAATCAACATGTTTATTAAATCTTCTCTTTATAACAGGAAAGTAAATTTCGGCAATTTATTCTTCAACGTTTAAAGTTACTAATTAGTGAAACTTCACTTTGTACAGTTGCACTTAATAGAATAAATTTTGTTCATGCAGATAAATTGTCAGCACATGAAACGGTGTGTTCACTGACCACTTTTACATGCCGTTTTCCCACGAATCTTTGCAAAATATTACTCCCCTTCCTTCCTTCCTCCTCCCCTCCCCCCTCCTTCCTTCCTCGCCTCCTTTCTCCCCTCCCTCTTCCTTCCTCTCTTTCTCCCCTCCCTCCTTCCTTCCCACTCCCTTCCTCTTTTCCCTTCCTCTTTTCCCTTCCTCTTTTCCCTTCCTCTTTACTTCCTCCCCTCCCTCTTCCCTCCTTCCATCCCTCCTTCCCCCTCCTCCCCCCTCCCTTCTTCCTTCCTTCCCTTCTTCCTTCCTTCTTTATCTTCTTCCCTCCCTCCCTCCCTCCTTCCTTCTTTTTTCCCTCTAAGTTGCAGAGAGGCTGATTGACCTATAGTCATGGCTAGTTGAAGGTGGGGCTGGGATTCAAACCCAAGCGACTGTTCTTGGACTCTAGCACCTCTCACGGTTTCCTAGATTATGTCCTAAAGTGGGGGCTCTTCTTTCCTGGCACCCCCTTAGTGTGAAGAATGGTGCTGGGCATGTAGAGGCATCTGGGCTGCTGGCTGGCTGGAGAAAAGAATGGCCATGTCCAGCAGGAATGATCTCGATGGAGGTGGAGTCCTAGCCTTCAACTTAGAATATTGCATTTTCTACAAGGAGGCAGATGTTTGTGCAAGTACAAGAGGGGACGGGTGTCAGTGACTAGGGCCGAATGGAGGCACTGGACACCGTGGTATCGTTGGCAAAACTGAATTGCCTTGGCCTCAGCACGTTGTCCTCCTACAGTAGTTGTTACCTTTCAAAGCATTTCATATGCCTCATCCTACTCACCAAATAACAGCAGGTGGTTGGGGGTGGGGGTGGCACTTTTCTTTCCATTTTACTAAGATGCCCTGGATGGAAAGGACATGGGATCCTGAGTGGCTTTGCCACTCCTCCGGCATCCTCACACTGGACCCCACGGGGCTGGGATGATAGGAAAACGATGCTGACTATCTGGTTTTAATGGATTTTTAACCTAAATCTGTTTCGTCATCAGATAGTCTTTGTGTAGACACGCAAAGTCTCTGTGTGAAACCTAGCCCAAAGTCAGTTATTTCTGCAATAATCATTTTGAGCGGGTCGCTACCAACTCGTGCCGAGCTGTGGAGCCAGAAACAGTAGGATTCAAACAACCAACCGGTTAGTTACTATTCATAGGCTAGTAATGAGACGTTTTCACTAAAACCGATTGCTGAAAATCAGCCATTGCCTCTCCCGCCCTGGCCGTCCCAGGCCGCGACCTTCTCTGCGGTCTGGAAGTTCCCCTCCCGTCCTGCCGCTCGTGTGGGGCGGGTGCCACGTCTGCGATCCATTTGGCAGGAAGGAGAGCACCCCATGTCCTGTGCTGGGGTTGTCACCCGGCGGGGACTCAGACTCCCTGTGCAGAGGAGACGCAGGCACCCGAGGGCAGCCTCCTCACCCACCCGCCCGCGGCACCAGTCAGCGGCTGGGCCTGACCTTGGCTTCCAGTGCTAGCAACACCAACGTGCCCGGCGTTCTCCACTGTGGCTTGGGAGCCTAATGGGAAACACAGGCCAGGTCCTCACGTGGCCCTTCTTGGCGGGACCCGAGGCGCGTGGGCAGAGCTGGCTCTGAGGTGGTGGGCTTTACGGCCACTGGTGGCACGGCTCTGCTGACCATCTATTCTGGTCACAGAGCTCCCTGGGTCCTATTCCTGTTTCTCTTGTTGGCGTCTTCGTGTGGAAGAGGGATTTGTCTTGCTCCCAAGATCAGGCAAACACTAAATCTCCTCTCCTTGCAGGTGAGGTTCCCACGGGGAAAACAAGAGGTGTTACCTGTGGTCATGACGATCCCTGCCAGTGCTTTGTGGCGGGCGTGCGCGGACGCCAGGCCCACGGTCAGCTCGCGGAACTTCTGTGTGACCAGCTGGGACACGGAGTCTGCGAATTCCTGAAAGACACAAGCACCAGGGCCTCTTTGACGGCTGAGCGCGGGCGGTGGCCTGGCCTCCCTCCTCCTCCAAGCCACGTCCCCATGTGCGGTGTCCAGACGACACCATGCCCACTATCCTACGACCCCATGGCCTGGGGAAAGAACCAGATATTACACTGAACCGGTGGCAGACCACGGTTGTGGGGGAGGACCCCAAGCCTGGCCCCGAGTCTGGGCAGAGCCTGCCCGTGGGAGGCCACAGACACTCCCACCCTCCCCTGCCCCTTGGAGGGGCCAGCCTGGGGCTGTCCTTCTGGGATTCTTGTTTCATAGAACCCTGAGTGGAGCTGGGGGCTTGCACAAACCACACACTTGGTTCCCTGTCTTCGGGGTTGTAGAACCAGTTTCTAAGTACCCCACGATCTCAGGTGCCTCCTGGCTGAGCTGCTCCCTGCTAACCCACAGTCTTCCTTCACATTTCTGCACATGTGCACATGCACACATGCATGCGCACACGAGCACTCACAGAGACACATTCACAGTGCGTACCCACACACGTGCATATGCACAGCTGTGCACAAATACATTCGGACAGCGCGTGCGCACGCACACATGCACACACACACTGAGTCGACATAACCCCACGTGTTGAAATTTTCCTAGTGTGACCAGCGTCCCTACTGAAGCCGCTCATCTGCAGTGACAAGGCCGGCGTGGTCCACGGATGTGGTTTTCTCGTCACCCTTCTCCCTCCGACATGGCCCCACGGTGGCCGTGTCGCTTCTCTGCTGCAGGAGGCAGGCTGGGATGCAGCGCCCTTCACGGCACTGGAGGCAGAGATGTGGTGTGAGTCACGAGGGCCCGTTTTATAAGGTAATCCTCTTTGTTTTGAGCTGACGGTGTTTCCATGAGGATTCAATGCAGTCACGTGTCTGAAATGCTGAGTGTGCTGCCGTGGGCTTCCTAAGTGTTCTTCGTTCATCACCATCGTTGTTACTAATGATCATTTCCCTGGTCGCTGCAGACACTGGTGGCATCTTCCTGTAGCCACGTCCAGCATCCGCTTACCTGCGAGGTGGGCAAGTGGCTCGTTTCTGTGACGGGACGGACGTTCATTTCCCGCCAGGCGTCTGCACGTTGTGCTGCAGACAGGAACAGGTCTTGGCAAAGATGCGAAAGATAGAGACCGCGTTAAAAAAAACGCATTTATGGTCAGTGAAATGTGTTGACACAGAAACAGGCCTGCCTCTCGGATGCTGGAAACGTGCAGCGACGACACTGAGGCTTTGGCGGCCGCTTGTCCAGTGCCGCTGGGGGCTCGGCGCCTTTCCCTGTGCTGCTGTGGCTGCTGCCGAAGCCTGGAGTGGCGGGTGCCATACAGGCGTGACGGTTCAGGCCTGGCAGGTGGCGTGGGGCCTGCTGGGCGTGGGGCGTGTGTGCTGGGGGGTTTTCCCTGGCTTGGCCCCAGAGGCAGTGAGGCTGCTGGGTGAGGTGCCTCACCTCCACTGGGCACTGTGGAGTCAGTCATGGGCAAGACGAATCCTGGAGACCGTCCTGTCCCGTGTGACCCAAAGATGGAGGTCCAGAGAGAGTGGGTACGTGTCCCAGGTGCACTGGGTGTGGGTGTCCTGGGGCAGCCAGAACTGGAGACCGCAAACGGGGTGGTTCAGAACAGCAGAAATCTGTTCCCGCCTGGCTCTGGAGACAGTAGTCTGAGGTCAAGGTGTCGAGGGCATTCTCCCTCCTGAGGCTCCAGGGAGGGTCCTTCCCGCCTCCTCCAGCTTCCGGGAGGGGGCTCCTCGTATCCCTGGGCTTGTGGCCATGTCCTTCCTGTCTCTGCTTCCATCATCATGTGGCTTCTGTTCTGCATCTGCCTCTCCTTCTCTGTCTCTTACAAGATGCCTGTCACTGGGTTTAGGGCTACTCTCATCCAGGATGAGCTCACCTCGGTTCCTTCAGTTCACATCTGCATAGACCCAGGCACGGGCTCCGGGGCAGGATACGGGCATGCCTTTTTGGGGCCACATTCAGACCATTTCTCCTTGTCATGACTCTTCACCTCTCGTGCTGTAACTGAGAGGGCAGCAGTTTTTCACAGAGTGTGAGTTTGGGTAATTTCTGCACGTCTTGGATGAGCCTGACTTCTTAATTTGTGTGGGAAGATTAATTGCATCATCAGGCTTTGCCAGGCACCCGGACCGTGACCTGGGCAGTCGTAACTGCTGTTTCTTGAGCAGCTACAGGTGCGGACACGGGGCTGGTAGGGTTCATGGTGCCTTGGCCCCACCTCCGAGGGCAGGGTTTATCCTTTCGCCTGACACATACTTAGGTCCCACCTCTGGAGGCTAGTGGGGAGGGGAGCTCAGAGCTCTGACTGACGGGACACAAACAGGGAGCTGGGCTCCGTGGGAACAGGGGTCTGAGGGCTCTGTGGGGCGTCCGAGAGGCCCGCTCTTGGGCAAGAGCCTTTGGGCACTGTTCCCGCAGGACCAGCAGGAAGACGCAGCCTCGGTGCCACCTGCCTCTCAGGGAGGAGGGGCTCTCGCCTGGCCACGGAGAATGAGGCTCCTGTCTAGGCACAGGGGGCCAGAAAGGCATCACTGGAGCTGACAGCTGAGATGGACCTTGAGGAACCAGTGGGCGTAAGGCCTTACCTTTTGCCTTTGTCAGGTCACAGGAGGACGTGCTCCTCAGCATGCTGGCCGTTGGGGGAGAGTCGAGATGCTGTTCTGTGGGGGCACCTAACTGCTGGGGTGCGCCCTGCCTGCTGGGCACCATGGCGCCTGCAGGTGGCTGTCCGTGCAGTCTCTCTCTGGGATGGGCTTCCTGGGGCTTCACGTGCTGCCTTCTTCTGGCTTCCCCAGGGTTTTAAGCGGCTCAAGGGCAGACTGCCTGTCTTTTACTTCTCTAAAAACGTTTAAAAAATTGAAGTATGGAGAAGCTACCGCGTTATATTCAATATTAGTTTCAGGTGTGCAACATAAGGATGAGATAACTCTATTCAGCACTCAGTGCTCGTGATGATATGAAGGAGACTCTCAGTCTCCTTCACCTATCACCCCCCCCCTCCACTTCCCCTCTGGTGACCATCAATGAGTGAGGTCATACAGTGTTTGTCTTTCTTTACTGATTTTTCTTAGAATATATTCTAGTTCCATCTACGTTGTTGCAAATGGCAAGATTTCATTCATTTTTATGGCTGAGTAATATTTCATTGTGTATATACACCACCTCTTCTTTATCTGGTCATCAAACTACGGACACTTGTTTGCTTTCCATATCTTGGTGGTTGTTGATAGTGCTGCCATCAACACTGGGGTGTGTATCTTGTGAATTAGTGTTTTTATTTTCTTTGGGTAAATACTAGTGGAATTATCGCATTAGCTTTTTGAGGCACCTCCACATTGTTTTCCAGAGCAGCTGCACCAGTTTGCATTCCCACCAGCAGTGCAAGAGGGTTCCCGTTTCTCCACATCCTCGCCAACATCTGCTTGTTCAGTTGTTAAATTATAGCCACTCTGACCGGTGTGAGGAGGTATCTCCTGGTGGTTTTGATTTGTATTTTCCTGATGATGAGTGATGTTGAGCATCTTTTCGTGTGTCTGTTGGCCATCTGGATGTCTTCTTTGGAAAAATGTTTATTCAGGTCATCTGCCCATGTTTAATTGGATTATTTGGGGTGGTTTTTGGTGTTGAGTTGTAGAAGTTCTTTACAGATTTTGGATATTAACCCCTTGTTGGATGCGTCATTTGTGAGTGTCTTATCCTGCTCAGTAGGTTGCCTCGTCATTTTATTGAGGGTTTCCTTCTCCAGTAAGTTTTCGAGGTGCTGAGATCTGATTCCCATGCCTTGTATGCTCTGAGGTGGGATTCCAACGGACCTCTGATTGCCCCTTTTCCTTCCCTTGAAAGTGAAGTTTCTGAATGTCCGCGAAGCCATAGACCATCAGCCCAGGAGGTGTCTCGTTCTGTGCGCCTGATGGGCCCTGTGAGGCTCCCAGAAGAGGACGTCCCAAACCACTGCCTGAGCCTGGGTGTTGGCGGATGGTTCCTCTCAGGACCACTTCTCGGTGTGTGCACAGACAGCGAGCTGGAGTCTCCTCTTGTATGGACGCTGACCCTGGTGTGGGGCCCACCCTCACGACCTCATCTGACTCTGATCATTGCCTTAGAGGCTTTGCTCCAAATACAGCCACCTGGGGGTGGGGGTTTCAACCTGGGGATTTGGGGACACAAACATCCAGCCCACAGATGCATGAAATGTGGCGTGGCGAGTGACCTTTCTGGCAACGGTGTCATGGGTTGCTCTGGCTGCTGACGTTTGTGCGGGATCCCTCCTGTCTCCGGCTGTCTAGCTCCCCCATCCTTCCTTTCTTGTCCCCTGGCTGGGTACCCAACCTTGCTGGAGACTCTTGAGGGGGGAGCTACCACGGAGGAGCCGGGGACCCAGCTGCCCACCCACTGGCACCCGGGTGGTTTCTTGGCTAGTCAGGCACTGCTTTTGAGGATGTGGGTTGCAGCAAGAGCGTTATTTACTCCAGCATAAGAATGAGAGGAGTTTATTATGAAACAGCAGGTAAAGCCTGACAAATTAAGGGAAACGAATAGTGCACAGAGCGCCACCTGCACAGCTGATGCTCTAGGCATCGTAGATCCGGGTGAGCTGACCTCTAACCCTGGTGCCCTCTAGGGGGTGTTCGGGCTCCAGGGCCCCGACAGCGTGGGTCAGCAGCTCTGCACAGTTCTGTTGCCAGTGACGTGCACAGGTGGAAAGACAAACATAGCAGGACACAGGACAGACAGAGCCATGGCCGGTGGTAAGCACAGGCTGCTGGGGCAGCCACGAAGCAGTTCTGAGGGGTGCACACGTGCTCCCTCTGCCCCCGGCCTTGGCCGCCCCCTCCCCTCTGACATGGGCACTCCCTGTTGGGACCTGGTTTTTTAAAAAACATCTCCTCTGCTACAATCTTTTGCCTTGTTTTTGCATTTTCAGAGGTCCTTGGCATTTATGTGAAGGA